GTAAAACTTTATATTTTATCTGTAATTTTTTCTGACCTAACTCTATACAAGGTTGGTCAATTTGACTGAACTCGTAACCCCCCCCCCAAAAAAATCGAAATAGATCTCAATTACCTTTTATTTCTTTCTAGAATGACTTGAAATTGTAACCACGTTTATTTATCCTAAGTAGCTTTAAACTCATTTCAGTATACATCTATTTATAATTAAATTTTATTCTTTTTATTGACCTTTGAACCAGTCTAACTATATTCGTGCCACTATAATTTATAAAATCACTTTGGGAATGCGCAACTCGCGTTACGCCATTGAATTACATTACCCATGAGCTACTCGTGTGCCTCGTGAAATATTTTTATTATATTATTATTTATTTTACTTAACTAACCTAAAGAGATCCATATTTTTACATTTTAGTTAATTTTATAATAATAAATAAAGAATAAACAAGAAATAAAGTACTAATCCAAATCTCTTCTTTCTGTCGATTGTCAATGATACTTAACCCTACTTTTTGATACTAATGGTAGTAGTGCTTTAAATAATGCACCTAAGAACATAGAAAAAAGTAGACAATTTCCTCTAACAATCACAATTTTTCTGGCTTTCTAACTGAGCAACAAGAGCCATTACAAATTCATCCAAGCTAGCTGTCGTGATTCCCATGGGAACCAAAGTTGTATTACAAGTGAAATTGACAGTTATCTGTTCAGAATACAATGTAATATAATACGTCATTAGATAGATTAAACCTTGGCTTTCTATTGGTTATAGGTAATATATAATTAAATGAAAGAGAGGATGTGGCAGGAGGGATCTGATTTTCTATTTGATAGCTCTGTAACCAAACAAAATTGAAGGCTATAAAAAAAATTATGGTTTGTCTGAGCAATAACGATTTTATAGAGTAATTTACGTTTAATTTCATAGTTACCGGAGGGGTGGTGGATAAAATAGAGAAGATACTTAGAGATAATGTGTCACGCTAGGGGAAATTCAGGATTTTTTTAAAATACTGCCTTGTAGAATTAAGAATTTAACTTGTATACTACTAAAATATGGATTATTAGCTAAGATTTTATGTTATACTAATTGTAATAACATAAACAAAAAGTAGTTTAATAAAATTTTGAATGTAAGATGCTAAAATCTTTTTTTTATGCACAGTAAAGGATACCCGAGGCAATAGGGTTAATACGATCAGTGTAAAAGTGTTGGTAAGACTTTCATTAATCAGTATGATTTGTGTAATTTTATAACAATATAATTAAAGTATTTAAACCATTGTTAACATCCTTAAGTGTGCATAAAAAACATTGTATGATCCTTTCAACACCTTTCATGTATTTTTTTTTTGTCTTCAGGACATTAAACCTGGGACGTCTTGTCGAAAGTCCATATTTGGAGGATGGGAAGCTCAAACTTCGATATTCCCAAGGAGATACTTGTGAATTGAATGGAACAACAAAGAAATTTGAAGCTGTTATTGAATTTAGATGTGATACTAAGAAATATGTAAGAGAACCTTAATGTCTTTTAAGTCAGATCTATTCTCCTTCGAACAGAAAGCTAGTCTTGTGTGCGCAACACAAGTTCTCTTCTTAAGTTAACAAGTGTGAACAATAATCTTAGAACCAGTGTACGCAAAGACACTTAAAATACGTCTAGTGTACACAAAGATGCTTAAAATACGTCTAGTGTACACAAAGATGCTTAAAATACGTCTAGTGTACACAAAGATGCTTAAAATACGTCTAGTGTACACAAAGATGCTTAAAATACGTCTAGTGTACACAAAGATGCTTAAAATACATCTAGTGTCCGCAAAGATGTTTAGAATACATCTAGTGTCCGCAAAGACGCTTAAAATACCTCTAGTGTGCGCAAAGACGCTTAAAATATGTCTAGTGTGCGCAATGACGCTTAAAGTACGTGCAGTGTGCTCGATGACGCTTAAAGTATGTGCAGTGTGCTCGATGACGCTTAAAGTACGTGCAGTGTGCTCGATGACGCTTAAAGTACGTGCAGTGTGCTCGATGATGCTTAAAGTACGTGCAGTGTGCTCGATGACGCTTAAAATACGTCCAGTGTGTGTGCTCAATGACGCTTAAAATACGTCCAGTGTGTGTGTAATGACGCTTAAAATACGTCCAGTGTGTGTGTGCAATGACGCTTAAAATACGTCCAGTGTGTGTGTGCAATGACGCTTAAAATACGTCTGGTGCGTGCAAAGATGCTTAAAATACGTTAAGATTTTGTGTTAATCATAGTTTTCAGTTGAATGAATTTCATGTAATTTTTATTGATAAACCCTTACGGTTATTATACATTAAAACATAATTCTATGTTTTGGTTAACCTGAGTTGAAAACTTATTTAATTAATATCACACATTTTTTTTTTATGAGAAATCTCACTTTCAATGAAGACGGGAATGGCAAACAGTGACAACTGTTACCGAGGCAAAAGAAATTATAAATGCTGTTACAGAAATCATCGACATAATTGAAGCCCTGGAAATGTAAAAAATGCATTTCATATTTCAGAACTCTCAATAAAACACTTAAAGAAATATTTTTAATACTTGTATGCAGACTGCTAGACCCAGAAAGGTCACTTCTATGGACAGAAGTCCGAGAATTTATTGAACTCTAGGGATATTCCTATGCCAATTTACTCAAGTTGTAATTAAATACCAATACGTCTCCAAGATATTACTAAACATAGAACAAGAAACGAACAAAAATATAAAAAACAACACTGCTACTAACCAGTTAGTGGATTGACAGTTGTACAGTTAAATGTTGTTACTTCAGTAGAAAGGTGACAGGCTGCAGAAGCACTCCAAGTGAAGTAATACGTGCAACCCTCTTGGCCTACGTACTCTGGTTCACCCCGATGCTTTATACATCACAAATTTAAAAAAAAACTACTCTTACAACATCAGACTTAAAATTCTTATTTTAAATACAAGTTCAAGTGTACAAACACACACCAATTTAAAGTAATAAAACTTTACAACACTCTTTTTGAAAGCATCTCTCTAGAAACTTTACTATTTCATTCTGTGTTTATGTGCACAAATACACAATGGGCTATCTGTACCGTGCCCACTACAGGGACTGAGCTACAAAATTTAATCCTTTAAGCTTACAACTGAGTAACATACATGTGAACATGGGGCATAATAGTAGAAATATTGTTTTTCACTCTAGATACATTGTAGTTAAACTTTAACCACCGTTAAACCACAACAAAAATAGAAACAACAACTTTTTTCAGGACATATAAAACAAGTTAATTAGAGGATAATGGTCTCAAACTTTGGAGAAACAATGTTTGAATGACAATATATTTATTCAATCTATTAATACCGCATGCAACCTTTTCATTGAATTCTTTTAGTTTCTTTAAAAAATAAATATACTTTTTATTATAAAACAAAAATAAGAAACCAAAAACGTTTACTAAGTTCGTTGAAAAGTTCTCATTATAAATACTTCATACACTAAGGCAATAATAAAAAATGAAATTTTTTGATAACTTCAATGGTGGAAATTCTTACCAATATTTTTTCCACATGTGGAGTTTTTTATTTCCCCACACACATTCAGTTGAAACTCGTGGTTTGCAGTACTCTGAACCGTGTAAGGTTCACGTTTTTGTAAAGAGCTCAAATCAAACTTCAAACCTGTAAAACAAAATGTATAAAACATTATTATATGAGTGACTACACAAAAAACTCAATTCTAAATAGTTCCAAGTTGCATATTTGATGAAAGTCAACAGAGGAAAACTTACCAAAGCATGCATATACAGAGGGGGAAAAAAACCCGTGGATGTTAGCTATGTGTTTCTTTACTCTGAGGACAGCTGGTATTAGTTTAAGTAGTTATTAAATATGAAACTTTCAGCTAAAGATGCAGAGATGTAGATTTCATATATTTCCAAAGCTTCTTCAATGTAGCGGTAAGATCATGGTCTGTACAGTTTTATTCACTGATTCAAAGCTTCTTCAATGTAGTGGTAAGATCATGATCTGTACAGTTTTATTCACTGATTCAAAGCTTCTTCAATGTAGTGGTAAGATCATGGTCTGTACAGTTTTATTCACTGATTCAAAGCTTCTTCAATGTAGCGGTAAGATCATGGTCTGTACAGTTTTATTCACTGATTCTAGAGTAGTTTCAAATATTACTGTATTGGGAAGGAAAGATTGTGGCTGAACGTTGAGGTGAACATTACAAGTGTGTGTAAATATCAGTGTGGAAATATTGCAAAGTGTATGAAAACATTGTGGTGTGTGTGAATATCAGTGCAAAAACAGCACAAAGTGTATGAAAACATTGTGGCATGTGTGAATATCAGTGCATAAACATTGTGGTGTGTGTGAATATCAGTGCAAAAACATCACAAAGTGTATGAAAACACTGTCATGTGTGAATATCAGTGTGAAAACATCAAAAAGTGTGTAAGAAACATTGGCATGTGTGAATATCAGTGTGAAAATATCACACAGCGTGTATGAAATATCGTTTGTGTGTGTGTGTGAATACCAGTGTGAAAAAATTGTGGTTTGTGTGAATATTAGTGTGAAAACATCACGAGGTGTGTGAAATCACCACCATATGGGTGTGAACATTGCAGAGCATGTTTGAGAACATCATGGTTTGTGTAGTGTAGATCACAAAAGACTGTGAATAATAATTTTTTCATTTCTGAAAGAATGGCGGCTTTATTTATCAACTTTTCTTTGTTAGGTTCGTGTCAGCAGGAAGTTCTTGGTGATCGTAGGTGGGATGCTGGGAAGGCTAATAATCACCTTCATTACAGAGAAGGTATGTTGTTTCTCAACTACAGCGGAGGATCTCCTTGCCACGATGGAAAGTTCCAGAGGAGCACAATTATCCAGTTTGTTTGTGGAGCCAGTGAAGGAAAACCGACCTTCATTTTTGAAGATCATGACTGTACCTATTTCTTCACTTGGCATACATCTCTTGCGTGTGAACACAAGGTTTATATCCTTATTAACACTTTGCTTTTAGAATTTCTTTTACATAGCATTGTAGTCTCTATCGTATTAAGAGTTGAATGTGGTATTGTGAGACACAGATATTAAACATCACGGCTCTTTTGTTTACACTATACGAAGATCGGTTCTTCTCTTACTCTTGGGTATAGTTTTAACATGCGTGAAAATTAACTCTCTCTTATTTTTAGATAACTTTTACCATAAGAAAATTAACTTGCGTTTGGATAACTGTCACACCACAAAGGTTTGTAAAATCTGCTAAAGAGGCACAAAAGATGTTAAATCTTTTGTTTAGCCGACCCTGTGTGGAATGAAGTTTATTAGTGTTCAGCTTCATATCACGTGTATTGAAATTGTTTGTTTTTAATCACCTATTCAGTTAACTTAAGAAATCTACCAAGATGTTAAAAATGTGTTCGTTGATCTTAAAGGCATGGTCTGAAAATGTCTGTTTAGTTTCTGTCAGTGAGCTGTTTCAATGCTGAAATAGTACACCGTGGAATATCACGATTGATATTTAGGATGTTTTCTATCAGTTTCTACCTGTCAGCGTATTGACAGAAGGAACCCTAGAACTTGCTCGGCTACTAACCGGGATACGGCAGTCACGAAATACGTTGAAACATTATTTATAAATATTACTAACAGTGTCCATGAACCTGGATTGGCCTAATATATTGAACTCAACCTGAAGCATAGAAAATTCATGAAAAATATAAAACTAAACAACCAAAAATCTGGAAATGTTGAGGAAGACTGAAAAAATTAACCTTAAAGCTTGAGTAAAAATGGAAAAACTTTACTCGAAACTGGAAAAGTCAGGAAAATTGAAAACTTAACCCAAATCTGAAAAGGTTGGGAAAAATTTAAACCTCAAATTTGAAAAGGTCAGGAAAAATTCTAATTTAAACCTCAAATGTGAAAAGGTCAAGAAAAATTAGAACTTAACCCTAAAGTCTGTAAAGTCAAGGATAATTGTGGCCCTTCTTCTTTTTTTTTATCTCGGAATACAAACTGAGCAGTTTACTATGGTATATCTTAATGTAACCTTGATTAGGTATTCTGTTTTATCCGGTGATAATTCTCCGATTAATTCTATTTAATGATGTTAAATATTTTTGGTATAAATAAAGATAGAACGTTTTATTGTTTACTACATTATTTGTGAATATCTTTTTTTGTGTAGCACCAGTATGTGAAGTTTTTTGTTACTATATGTCAAGCTGTATTGGTGTTTAATTATGCAGAAAGTTGAAACGTTCATGTTTTATTTCTCAACAAGTTTTGGGTTGTGTTTGATCATATTCACAAATACTGAAGATATCCTTAGTTTAGATAAATCCACTCTTTTATGTTGAAATCCCTATTTACGAGTTTGCATTTGTACAATATGTTTGTTAAACGACATAAATACGGCTTCAGGCCCTAAAATAACGCTTTTATATTTCTCCAAGTTACTGATGTAATGTATAATTAAAGAATAAATTATGTTTATTGTGTTTTATTAGCCAGCAAACAATACGAAGAATTAAATTGTGACGGAATGCTACAAGTTCTTCAAATACCTATAGAATGATAGGTTTCTTTTTTGTGAGTGTAAAACACACCATTTCGATAAACTTAAGAATTGCTGACAAAAAAGAATAATGTTAGGGGGCCCATTACTTTTTGTGTGTAGTTACGCTACTGATTGAGATAACTTAAAGTTGACATTAAAAAAAAAAATTTTTTT